ACACACAAAACTCAAACAAATCGAACTAAAAAGGTGATATTCGTAATCAGCACAAAATTCTGCATCGGATGATGTGTCTTTCAAGGAAAAATGAAGAGTGCTTGATTTTTGAATTAGCGGCACCTTATAAAAAAACAATAAAACAAAATGGTCTCATTCAAGAGATATGAAGATGTTGGTACTGCAAGCTGCTTCTCCTTTTCTGATAAGTATATAGCTAGTAAGCAAAGAGATAGCAGTGAATAGAAAAATATTGTTGTTATAAGCTTAATTGAAAAGAAAAAGTTAGAAACGAGCAGTACAATAATGCTGAGAAGGAGACGAACGCATTTTATCTTTACATTATTGACTGCGGACAAAGGACAGGATAAGAAATACATATAAAAATAAGAGAGAAGGACAACATAAAACAGACAAGTAAAGACAAAACAAAGACAAAAGATAAAGAATAAAGAAACAGCATACGAGGAGGGAAATAGGAGTTAGAATCGTTGTGTGTCTTTGATATAGATTATTACAATATTGTACAGTTTACAAATTTCAGTAGTGTTTAAAGATGTTAACGGTTGTACAAAGAGAATGTGTTCTAGAGTACAATAGTTAGCGTTTGTCAGAGTAATCCAGTCGTTTTGAAATGTGGTTCGAAATGCTAGTAATTAGATAATTCAAAAAGAAATGTTTTATCATCACAATCGCACCACACGTACATAGTAGACTACTGTTGACTAAGTACTGTGACTAAGTTTTTCTTAAAAAGAATAAAATTGAGCCAGGTGAAACTAACTCCCATTTGATTAAAAATCATATCGTATTTCCTTTCAGTATCTTTGAATCTAGGCCACTTGCACCAAGGGAAAAAATTGTCGTTCATAATAAAAAAGTTTTAAAGAGATAGTAGTACTAATAGTATGAGGCGATTCATTATACTGTTTAATCGCCCATAGACAATATATATGTACAATATGTATTATCGAATTCTACTTTATGAAAACGAAATGTCTGCAAACGATTATTCTGAACAAGTTATATAAGTTGTTGCTGTTGAGGTCAGTATTCTATCCGGTAAAAACTCTGGCGCTAGGCCTCTAAATATCTTAAATAACAACAAAATTCTATGCGTAGCAAATAGATGTTCAGGCGAAAGCCACCCTAAAATCTTAAAGGCTTTTCCTCGAAAACGCAGGTGCATAGCACCACTAACTATTAAACCATCTTCATACTGCAATTTCGTGATAGGCAGTACATAATTTGGTACAATAAATCTGATTAGCAGTCTTCGTGCAGTTTTGATATCTGTTGTACACGCATACACTATTCTCAGTTTTTTCGTATTCTCCGTGTATTCATGTTGAGTGATGTCACTTTTTATTTAGTTTCATTTTCTTAATCATTAACCCTTTCAGTACCGTTGCTCGACCATGATAGCCAGGGACTTCTAATTTTGTGTGCTCATAGCTTTTACTGAATGCTGATCACCCATCAAACTTGGGCCTCCTATACTAGATGATTCGTGAGATGTAAGCGTTTCATTTCTTTTTCGTAAAATACTAATAACTCCTGATCCAAGAGAGGTGAAAACTTTTCCTTTTTATCAAAATGCAGCACTGCCTCTCATCTATCTATGATATGAATTTGAAGTGTCAGCTCTTAATAGTTATTGAAATATAGCTATTTTACGATCGAGGGTCACTTTTGAAGTTTGAGACCCCCTTCCAAAAAAACTTAGCCTAGGAATATCATTTTCACTTCAAAATTACACCAGATACTGTAAAATGTCTTTAGATTATTTAAACAAAGTATGAGAGTTAACTATTGTATAATTCGAGATATTCATTGAAAATGAGCACCCGCTATTGAAACATATATAAGGAGGCAAGAGTGAGGAACCAAGGGTCGTCCATTCTACCATATCTTCTGTGATTAATGTTCGTCATAATCGTGTAAAACTATAATAATGAGAAATTAGGGAGAAAATATCCATAGGTAAAATATTGTCAAGAAGACGTCGCACTCAACCTAACCCCCGCTTATTTCATTTATTTTCCGTCTTTTTCACTTCTCATATACTTTTCAATAATTAATGATTGTCAAACAAGCCTTATTAAACAGGTTAGATGAAGAACAATAAATAATTCATATAATTCTGCATTGAACAACAGGCATAACAGGTATAGGATTAGTACTTCTATATACATATACTTCTGTTCATAGCATCATTTCTGCTGTTGATTATATTATTACCATTGCTCTCTGGGATAATGAGAAAAAGAAAGGCAACGAATATCAGTAGGTTGTTTAACAAAATTTAAAATCAATACTGCACGCAGTCATGTAACATAAGACTATCCTGTGTGTAGACTTGTCGTTTGAGACTTTTATAAAATTGTTCTTTCAAATATAATCACTGCTGATTACTGCACAATATGGAAAGTATGTTAATTGTTCGACTAAAAGTGTGCTTATGTGTTTTTATCCCACTAATATCTGCTATATTCGTCCTGTTACATAAATACAAACTATTATAGATCACTATTATACGAAAACGACAGAACTTCTAAATCGTCAACAGGGTGTACGAGAAGCAATGATGTGTTCTAATAGTGGCATTATACGATGCAATAAATCATGACAGATATCACAAAACCAAATTGTATAATGCAGTCATTATTGCAACAGTTAAGCTCTCATTTTTTTCTGTCCTTGTTGACGCAATGAATAATTAATCACACGTATGTGCAAATAAGCGCCTGTGTGGTGTTCTTCTACAGAAAAACACAAAACTTATATCACTTATCTGAATCAACATGTGCAACAAGGTGAAGCACATACTTTTAACAGACTGTTGCTTAAACATATTTTCATTCTGTCTTGCGAACTGACTTCACAAATCAATTGAGAATAATCGTCAACAATACCGGCAAGACAGCAACATACACGAATTTCTATTTGAGCAACGAGAACATCAGCTCAAAATAGAAAAGGCAGATTGAGTACAATCAATATACACACAGCCACATTTAAAACTCTATCTACCCTACTATTCTCTCAGGTGATCACTGCGGAACTAAAGCATCTGCGTATTTCTCATCTAGATTAGCAATGTATCTAAGGTATGATTCTACTTCTAGCAATAATCTGACATGACTTCATCTGCCAAGGCCAAACACTCATCAACACCAAAGAAGTGTAATATATGCCAGAAACTTGCTGGAATCATGCTATGTGCAGGATGTGAACAGATGTTCTGTCGAAAAGACTTCAATGAACATCGACAGCAACTCTCAGCACAACTCGACATCATCATCCGAGAGCACGACTTTCTCAAACAAAACATCGAACAGACATGTGATGCCACTAGTTCAAGGCTGTTCGATGAGATTGAGAAGTGGGAGATGGAGTGGATGAAGAAGGTGAAGATGGCTGCTGATCGAGCACGAGAAGAAGTACATGACATTGTTACTGAGCCGAAGAAGCAGCTGAAACGAATCACAGATGATATTCGACCGAGAATGGCGGAGGAAGACTTTGTGGAGTATGATCTCGATCGATGGATGGATGAAATAACAGAGCTGAGTGCGGATATCAGGACCATATCATCGACCATCGTGATCGAAAGTGGTGATGAGTGTGAGTGGAAGAGAATGATCAAAGTGAGAAAGATGGAGCATCAGAGTCATGTGTCAGAGTCACCACACAGAAGTGAGAAGAAAGACAGTGAAGTGAAACAATTCGACTTCAACAAACTTAAAGAGAAACCACAGCGACAGATCACAGTGGATGGAGATTATGGATCAATGGGAGTATCAGACATAAACTTGCTCTACTGTGGCAAAGACACACTGTGTTTGACTGATCGAACTGGTCATAAGACTAACACGCTTCAGTCTGGCGGACTGGCTGTCTGGGATATCTGTTGGTCATCGTTTCTTGACAGATTTCTGATAGTGACTCCGAGAACTCTTCGTTCATTGAATGTCCGAACAAGAGAAGTGACACAAATCAAACAAGTATCAGACAAGAATAAAGCAGACTTTTGCAGATGTACATGTTCGAATCAGACATTGTTGGTCAGTTTTGAACATAGAGGATCAGTTGTGGAAGAGTGGAATATGAGTGGAGAATGGAAAATGATGAGACGATGGCAACCACCTGTGTCCTGTCAACAGAATGAGTGGATATGTGAAATTGGATTTTCATGTGATGGCAGTCGTATAGGAGTAGCAGTGTGGGTAGATGATCAATACGATCAGGTTCAAGTACGAGATCGATCGATGAACATCCTCAAGAACATCACATTTCGTTGTTCGGCATTTGGGTATTTTCTTCTCTCTCTTCCAAATGGACAGTGGTTGACACATGAGCTGAAGAATAAAGAACTTCGTATAATTGACAAAGATGGTATATTACAACAAACTCTCACATATGATAAGAGTGTGAGAACGACAGCACTATTTGGACAAAGATGTCTAGTTATTCGAACAGACGACAATGAACTCTGTTTTCATGATCTATGATGTTGATTGAGAACAACATGAATATCGATTTCATTGATTAGCTGTGTTTAAATTTCAAATATTTGAAATGTGCCAGTTGAGGTGATTGCAAGCCGAATGCACCTTTTGAGAAAAGAAGTGATCACTCGAAAAACCGCTGTTTCGCTGAACTAAAATAAATGATTTTTTTATGGTATATTGCCTGTAAAAAAGATTTTCTGTTTTAATGATTTATAGGGTTTAGATAAGGCGTGAAAAGTGAGTTACTTGATGGGGTTTATTGTACTTTAAGAAGGATCGTAGCAAAAACGTATTTGGTAATAGTAGTGGTGAAAAATGTACCGCTCCATTATATTACTCATATTTCTGCACGAAAAAATCCGTAACACTAATGCATTTTTGTCAAAGATTATCCCGAGTTTCATTAACAAACGAGTACGAAAGGTTTGAGAATAGGTGAGACATCTTGAATTTGCTGTTCTAAGTATTTGTGCTGTCACATTGAATGTTCCCCTATACTTTCTCTTTCTCTGAAAATAGCTATAGACTTACAATAGCTCTACAACTGATCAGGTGGGTTGGCTCACTCTAGTCAGAGAGGTCATCGTCTGTAGCAGTGCACTAACATCAAACCAACTTGGCTCCTATAATAAAGCTTGAAGAGATCAGCCCAGTAGTTATCACTTTCTTCTTTAAGAAAAAAAGGCAGACTGATTGAAACACATGGAAGGGGTTCGCTTTTCATTGATTTCAGCCCACTGCTTTTTCGACCTCGTTATGATCACATATTGTAGAGAAAACGACTTTACACATTTTGAACTGCATATCAACCATTATAATATTATGGAGACTTTTTAAAACAACTTTTTTGAGGAGGTACATCAAGTATATCGGTATTTAACAAAAACGATTTTGCTCAAAATCTAATATAAAGTTACGGTAAAGCTTGATACAGAAAAATAGCTCTCGAAAAACTCTACAATATTCTGACTAAACAAACCCTACGTATAATTGACTCAATCCTTTATAGGTCAAATACGAGCCCAAGGACACCTGAAAGTGAACACAGTTGATGTTTTAGCCAATTTACTCCCATAGATAAGAGAGGATACAAGTAGTCTTTAGTATAGAAAAATAGCTCTTGAAAAGCTCTGCAATATCTGTTAATAGGAAACTTAACGAAGCCTGGCAGCAGGTTTATGAGTTTAATACTAGACTTTTCCATGGGTCGTGGCTATGCCAAGGGAATACGTAGGATTTGTTTAGTCAGAATATTGTAGAGTTTTTCAAGAGTTATTTTTCTTTCTCACTTTTCTCTATGAAACTAAGGAGGATCTCTAATCATTCATGCATCATTCGATGCGCCTTAAGCTCTATAACATTTGTCAATAGGAAACTTAACAAAGCTTGACAACGGCTTTTGTACATTAAATACTTCGCCACTTAATCTCACAGTGGGTCCAAAAATTGGTCGCCAAAATCAGTGAAAAGCGGGACCCCTTCTTTTAAAAATAAAAAGTTATGGGAAGTCCAAGAAGGGGCAACTATCGATTAATCAGATCGATTAGTCACAGTATATAAGAGAAATCCACTATTCCAGGTTAAGCCTTGGCCAGAGCATTGCGTCATGTAGAGCAGAAAACAACTAGAGACTCTGTCCAAGTTGGCAAATGAGGGCTTCCTAGTTAATAAATACCTTTTGTAATATCGATAATAATCATTAATCGCTCGAAACTGATTCCAGATAAAGGTAATCAGAAAATCTTCGATAGTACTGTTTCTTCTGTATATTAACAAGTAACGCTCATCTTCGATTCACTCGGTCTCTTGACGTTGAATCATAATGATTATCGTTTCTTCACTCAGTTTAGCTCTGAGTGTAGACAGATATCTGCAACATAGTGCAGCCAAAACCAAGGTCAAAGCTCGAAAACGGACAAAATAATTATATTGTTCAAATGCGGACTATGTTTTCCTTTATCTAGAGACTGCATCAAGGGGGAAACGACTTCCTAAAATGGTGCACACACTTATGAGTGTCAGTCACTTTAAGTGTCACAGTTATTCTCCTGTTTTGAACAAGATTTAAGCAGTAGCGATTGCTAATTTTTCTTCGTTATGAGTAAGAAAAGTAACAGATTTCGCTTTTTGCCCAAAAGTTACATGGTATTAAATGTTTATGTTACTTTATAAAAGGAAGTCTGAAGGTGTATGAGATCTGTTTTCTCGTACACATTTTGATGCACATGCATATGGTAGAGCTATTAGGCCGGAAGCTAATGCCTAACTAATATTACTACTACTACCTATTAATACTTAACGACGTTACTTCGAATAGCATCCATAACTGAACGAACGATTAGCAATAGAGAAAGAGAAAGGTTGATAAACCCATCGCCGGTCTATACATAGTAAAATAACAACAGTAAAAAGAGTCTTGTCAGTAAACCGGTTTTCCGGAAAACTGGGTCTTCAAATGCCATAAACCCAAATCCTTGTAGTATTTTTACCAGCTCGATATACTCTGTGGGTCGAGGTATAACTCGTTAGAAACGGAGTGTACCATCTCGCGCCGTTCCCTCATTATCACATTATGTAAAAATTGATGGCGCATCTTTTCAAAAGAACCTATGTCTGAGCGAAAAGAAAAAAGAAAAAAAGTTACCGTCAAAATACAGAGAGGCCCAGAATTCATGAAACATCCTTTAGGAGGCCGAATTCTTGACTTTTCAGGAAAATGCAGAATTTGAAATGACACTTAACCACTTTAAGTGGCACTTCCGAACTTCAACACTTAAAGTGACACTTAACTCGGAGGTGCACATACGTGAAGTGGAGTTTTCCCCCTTGGACTGCATCGTCAGAACTACAGCTGCAAATTTTTCTATGTTATTCGAGTTTCGTGCAGAAATGCTGTTCTTCATGGTTTAGGGGTATACAAGGGGGGAAAAGCGGACTCCTGGACTCCCACGGGCTCCTGAAGTCCAGGAGTCCAAGTGCAAAGTGTTCTTTTTTGGGAAGTGATTCCCAAAAAAGAACACTTTGCACTTGGACTACTGGACTTCAGGAGTCCATGGGAATCCAGGAGTCCATAGGAGTCTATAGGAGCCCAGGATTCTAGGAGTCCGCTTTTCCCCCTTGGGGGTATATCATGATGATAACTCGAAAGCTTTTTAATGTGATATTCGCAGATTCTAACTAGATGGATACTGCTTGTAGATCCGGTCAAATATTCACAGAACTACTTTTAAGAAGTACAGACCTTATTTGCCTATTTTCTTTCCACTGAACGATGAGGCGAACGCTAACTCACAGACAGTCGAAAATCGACAAGAAAATTGTCGATGGAAAACAGCGATGGGCCAGTACGAATGAATACTCGTACTCGAGTGAAAATGTTTAGATACTCGTACTCATACTGGTACTTGCGCCTTTTTTTAATGCATACTCGAAAAAAACTTGAGTACTCGGATAAATACCTGTTAACCAAAAGGAATTCAGACGGAACTGATCGCGATATACTATCATCACACGAAAAGAAAAAGAAGTTTTTTGGTAGTTCTCTCAAGATTCTCCAGGGAGAGTAACCACTAGAACATGCTAGATATCTCTAGAATCCTGGTCCTATACTTACTCGTCTTTCTGTACAACGAACAACTCCGATATCCGCAGAAAGTTCAAAAGTTTATGACGATCAGAAACCTGTCCCAGTCAATTACCTATTCTTAACCATTTCCGATAAAGTTCAAAGAAACTTTCGAGCAATTGGATCGCAGCTAGAGATCAGTAAGCGGTTCCCAGGTGCCGAATATCATGTTCCAGCTTCATTTCTACTTCAAATCGCATGTAAAAAGCGGGAGAAAACCAAGAGCTCGTATAAAACACATTTATACGGTTCATGCTTAGTTTTCTTTTCATAAACATAAGAGGAGCTAGCCCTTTTGACACCAACACGGGTCCATGAAAAGGCTCGCTTGTCTCTCGGAAGAGTGTTTGTGTACATCTATATGTGATATTGTAAGATATATGAAGTACAAAAATCTACAAAAGGAATTAGTGATTTTACTGTCAATAAGTCTTAACGGTTCACAGAAGAATCTTTCGCAAAAACAGGTGAAAATTAATAAAAAACTAATATAAGAATTTTGCTTGATCTATCAAGACAAATTTAAAGATTCTTGTCTGAAATCGCAAAAGACAAAAGACAAGAATCTTGAAAGACACATCGACAAGAAAATGGATTAGTAAAAGCGAGCGAGGAAACAGAAGAGAAAAAGGAAAGTTGTCGCCGCATGAGATGAAAAGCATTTTTTCTTCGTTTTCTCCATGACCTACCTATACTCACGTTTTTGTTGCACAGAAAAACGACAAGCTGTGTAGAAAAGCAAAAAAATCTTCGATTTTGAGCTGAAAATAGTTTAATGTGAAGGAATGCTAGGGATACAAAATAACACCAAGTGATGTAGAACTTTTTTCGAAAAAGTTTTTACTTTACAGTGTCTGAAGACTGAAAAAACTCATTTAGTTTCGTTTTCCCTTTCCTTTTTCTCTTTTTCCTTATGTCTTTAAGATCTTTTCCTCATACATAGTCTGATTGAGGAAAGTGTTCTCTTCATGAGACGTCTTTCAAACATTGTTTTTCGCGGCGATATCAGCCTTGACGCAAATGCTCTGAAAAAAAAGGCCTGTCTAATGCTACATGTAATGCTGGAAATATTGATAGTTGGAATCTGTGTACATTACAATCTCTCGAAGACGTCATTCGATCGGGTCTACAGTTTAATCGCAAGTGGAACAATATCTCAAGATGGTAGTTTTCTTTTGACATTTGATATTTCCTCCTTGAAGTATAAAAAGAATGGTAAAAGCGTAGGCGAAACCTCGAATTTTGATTCTGGAAACCCTATAAGCCAGACAGAAAAAAATGTTAAGAGATCTCTTTGGTCTGTCAGGTTATACAAGAGAAAAAATATTAAAGTTACCGGAAGGGAGAGAAAACGAAACAAAAAAATTGAATTTTTTCACTCTCTTCAGCAATTACTAAAAAAATTCGTGACTTTATCAAATAAGCTTCGATCCGATGAAGTTTTTGGATCTTTGAAAGATTGCTTTTCATTATTCTGTTAAAAATATATAAAAAATATTCTCTTTGTACAAGAAAATTAAAATTCAAGAGAAATAGTCATCGTACGTGTGCAAAAAGTAATTGTCATCATCCAAATGATTACTCATCACATGTTTTGCATGTAAAACATCAACTTTTTTCAATAACATAAGGATTTCTCTAGAAAAGAAAACGAAAACCATAATGGAATATAGTAGAAAAAATAAAATTACATACTTCACATGTTCTTCTCCAAATTCACTCGTATCATTCTTAAGTATTTCTGAGCGAATTTTTTCTTCGAATTGAACGACTTCATCCGTCAACGTCTTATTTTGCTTGGATGCCTTCGTTATGTCGACCTAGAAAAACATAATATTAGGTGAGAGGAAATAAAGATATGTGATAAAAAATGCTCATTTCATATTTGTTATGCTTTTTACTTCTGTATCTCTGATACATTGTTGAATTCGTGAACAAACGGATGATGGAACAAACTTTGTCTCTAATTCTTGTCGAATATCTTTCATTTCGTCAATAACATGAAATATGTGTTCTCTTAATTCATCAACTCTTTCAGCTGGCGTCTTTATATGAAGTTCACCAGTCTGTTTTGTGATATCGGTACGGGCTAAATGAAAAAGACGGTTGTTAAAACTCAATTTTTAAACTATCATAACTACTACACTGTGTCATTAGAATGTCTTGTCACAAGTAGTAAACAAGTTTTGTATCTAAGGATAGATATAAAAATCAATACTTGTCGTTGTTGCCGAAAGTTGTCGTTGCTCTTGTTGTTTTTGTCTCAGTTCTTCCACTTGTATTCTCAAATGTTCATTTTTCTTTAATGCATCTTTTACTCGTTCTTCACATCCTTCAATATCAAATGGATCGGGTGAGTATTGTCTACGAGGTGAACGTATTGTTCGTAGACGTTTTAGTTGTTCAGCTATGTGACTACCAAATTCAGGCTGAGTGGTTAGTAGATGATCAAGATATAACTCATATTCAGACTAAAAAAGCAAAAAAACAACAAAAACAAGGCAGTTAGAAAACAAAAAATAGTCCTTTGTCTACCTTGATACGAGCCAATACTGGTCCAAATGCACTTGATCCATTGACCAACTGATTCATTGCATCACCATAAGCCTGTAAACGTGTTAAACTCAATGTCTGCCGTTGAAATTGACTATCGAATACATTCACTTTCTAAGAAAACAATAAAATAAGAAGGTAAAAAAGTTTAAAAATTATGTCCTACCATATTCAAATTTTGTTCAACAGAATTAACAAAATCTTCACTGTAGCCAAATCCGTGAAGACCAATATCTTTTTTGTGTACAATATTTGCATCAAAATTTTTCAATTTTTTTAAACGGTTCTCATCGGATATATCAATAGAAAATGCTGGTATTGAAAGTTTTTCTTTCTTTTGCAAAAGTTTAGGTAATGGTTGATCTGTGATACTTTCAGCACTTGTTGGTCGATCTGTCTAAAAATTTTTCTCAGTCATACGATTTTGATAGAGAAAAATTAATTATTAACCAACCTTAGGTTTTTTAATGGGTAAACCAGGTAATGTGAGTGAATGGCGAGGTGATAAGAGAGAATTTCTTGTAGTAAAATTGATCAACGTTTGTTTCATATCGTTAACAGCGTTTTCTGTAACATTTTCTTTTGTTACTCGATGTGATGGACGTAATGTTGGATGTGGTTTCTTTGCACTCTCCCATGTCTTCCGAACATTTTTGTCGTCTTTTGGAAGACGATTCAAATGATTTTCGTTCAAATGTCCGGATGTCAGATCATGGATACTTTGCAGTTGATCTTGATAAACTGTGTTACAAATATTTTTTATGCGAGACATCTCAAATTAGAGAAAAATATTTATCGTCATACTAGCGACAATGAAACATGACTATAACTTACTGGACTATGGCATGTGATGATTTAGTTCTTTTCGTGGGTCTGATGTATTTAGTACAATTCGTAGCAATTAAGTCACGTAATGTGCACAATTGAGGAAAGTCTCATTTTGTAGCTTAAGCATTTCTCTTCAGATTAATATTCAGACAAAGTTCAATCAATGAATCAGTGAACTTGTAAAAGATAAATCACTATTCTCAAACTGGCTTATTTCCAAAACAATGCAAATCTTAACTGAGTCATCGACTGAACTTTGTTTGAGTACTGTTTTGAACAGGAATCCTAAGCAACAAAATGAAAGGTTCTTCAATTCTACACATTATGTGATTTTTAATTCCTACGAATTGTACTAACGTGTCAGACTCACAGAGAAAAACTTGATCGTCACATAAAATGGTCCTACTATCTTTTCTTGATGCGCAGCATTCTGAAATAGCTTGGAGTGTTCATTACTTTGTTCATAACATTGAAAAAAGCGCTATATTTCCCTGGCGATTTTCAAATGTGCAGATTTAGCATACAACACAAGTAATTTTGACACATTCGAATGCACATCTAGAATGATTCACTGTATTACTTAAACGAAAAAGAAAGCCATTACATCCTGTCATTTAATCCGTATCCTAGAAACGGACCTCTAAATTGACTCAAAATTTCTGTAGCAATATCCGAACAGAAATTCTTTCCACCTCGATGGAAAAAAACGATAAATTCAGTTTTGCAGTATGTGCCTATGCTATTAGTTTTTAGCGACATTTCATATGTCGCTCATGTCTACTGTGATTATAACTCATAATGACAATTGTGCTTCTCATAGTTCCCAAGATATTTCACCAATCTCTTCTTTAATAAAATGTAGTTTAAAAAACCTTTTATTAAGAGTATTCTTCGATCGTTTTGGGGCTTTCTGTAGAAATGTTATCAAATATACAGTAAATATGACTTAGTTTCCTCCTTTTTATGACTAATTGAAATCTTAATTAAGTATCCCTTCGTTTGCGTTGTGGAACTCTAACTATCATTGTTATCGAGTTTTGTTCTCTAGAAAATTCGTCTTAGGTTTTCTAATGCTGTTTTCAAAAATCTTGAATTGTAGCTGTATGAAAACCACATAACTAATTCTAAAAAGTAGAGTTCACATGTTTGTTTATATTCGAAAATCAATTTCGACAGCAGTTAATACAAAAATATATAGAGAAGAAAAAACAAGTTGTATGTGTATTTTCGCTTTACAACATCAAACAGAAATTCTTTCGCATGCTTAATTGTCTACGATCGGTACAATATGAATTTTGACGGCTTCCCTAAGAATATGCCACACTGCTTCCGAATACCTTTGTGAGAAACAAACAGAACTTTCTATTACAGCAGAAAGTGTGTCAGCTGTTTAACTATAACGTTTACTTTCTGTGTGCAGATAACTTGAGATAAGTCCACTAATGAGAGAGCTCAAAGTTACAAAAAACCAGAGATCAAATTTAGAAAATTGTTGTGATTCGGTCATTTTGTAGAGGACACGTAACTGTCAATGTTCCATAAGTTTTAGTTTTTCAAAACAAAAGTCAACAGAGTAGGAAAATTTCCGAAAAGAGTGATGAAACACTTTTAGTAGGATAGTTTGCAAAAATCATAACAACGTTAAATGATATTTTGAAAAACTAAAACTTATGAACACAGACCGTTTTATATCCTCTACAATACGGCCGAATCAGAAAAATTTTCTAAACTTGGTCCCTGGTTTTCTGAAGATCCACTATTCAAAATAACTGTCACTAAAAAGCTAAGGACAACTCTAATGTTCATGCTTGAAATCAGCGTCATCAGTGATATATAGTCAATTTCGAGGCTTCTTAATTGAGATCACTTTTTATAATTAAAGAAATAAAACTGATCTCAGTTTGGAAATGGCATATTCCATCAATTTTGAAAAGTGATATCAGTTTGGAAAACGATTTTTCTATTAAGAAAAAAATGATCTCAGTTTGGAAAATGAGCTTTTAGTTTTTATTTTAT